TACCAATATGAAGTCCAAGGAACAAGGAAGAGATTCGTACCAATGAGAGGTCGAGAGGTGGCCGTAGTTGGCCGGAAAACGGTATGAAACCCACGGGTTCTCGCTGAATTTGGGAAAAGCTTATCCGAAGTGTTTTTTGTCACAAAAGTCCACAAAGCCAACCTATAGTCTTTAAAACCTACCAGGACATTGAAAAGGAAGAAGGGTCAATGGTTTTTCAAGCCTTACCTAGTCGGAAAAGGTACAGTGAGGGAGATGAGGTTATGGTAGTGCTTGTGGCTAGCAAATGTTGGTAGTGGTGGTGCTCACTACTTCGGCGAAGGTGGTGCTAGTGTTTGCTAGCTCTGGCTTCTAGAGAGGGAGAGACGAAAACGAGAGTGGGAAGATGAGAGAGGTGAGAGGTGAGAGAATGAGAGAGAATGGTCCGAGAGTTGTAACGGGGAGGAGGGAAGAGAGAGGATGAATTGCTTGGGCCGGGGGACAAAAACCAAAGGGTGGGCCCCACATGGCTCACCATTTAAGACCAAAAGCAACATATTCAAAATATCTAGCCTAATCCCAATGAAATTACCAAAATACCTTTCCGTTCCTAAATCTGTAATATTAATCGGGATAGGTTGTTACATTTTTTTTGGATGGATCCAGGGTATCCCTTGAGCCGGGTCGGACCCCATTCGAGGGGCAAGCTCTCCCAATACTGGCTTCTCAATTCACAAGGCTCGAACTCGAGACCTTGCTTAAAGGGAACAAGCTCTTTACTAGTTGAACCACCAAGCATTGGTAGTTAAATAAAGTCATTTTCATTAAATAAAGTTATAGGATGGTTTTTGGTTAAAATAAACTTAGCTCAAACCCTTTTCATCAAAGCTCCAATTAAAAATGGATGTGATTTTAAACCACATTATTGCTAGTCCATTGCGAGGTTAAGCCTACTCCCTACCTTTTCAGTGTAGATAATATCATTTGTTGTTCAAGTAAAAAAAATGTGTATGAATAGGACTATCCTTAACTTTTTTTACTTTGAATTGAATAAATTAAAGGATAATTACTCTAAACAACTAGGACTGTGCAAAAGGAGAAAAAAGAATATTTGAAAAGACTTGCTTATCATAATTGGTCCTTGAGGTTTTGTCAACTTTGTCACCTCATTATTATTCCACATTTTGTTAAATACACCTTATGTACTGAAAACTGCTCAAGTTGATAAAAACACGTTAGATATACTTTTTAATATCGTTTGTTAAAAAAAAAAATTATCTTAATGTACCCACTTTACATACTCAAATTGTGATATCCCGTCCTAAGAATTACTATTTATTTACTGTATTTTAAAATTTGAGGTGTATTTAAATTTATTACATTTTATATTTACCTAATTTTGAGATAAAATGATATGCATGGTGCTTCTCGTCATTTTAAACTACACTTTGGTGTTTGGACGTGGTTTTAGAATAGTTAGATAGAGCTCTATCTCACAAATGCTTAGGCGCAAATGGGCACCCCATTACAAGTTAGGATGAAGATAACAATTGAATTTTGAGAGCATTTCGGTAATCTTCCAAATTCTAAATAGAAGGAAACCAAAAAAAAAAAAAAAAAGCTCATACTTTTCGAAAATAGAAAGCCCAAACCCATTTTAGCCGATAAAGTTTGTGACTTGGATATTGATCTGGTCGTATCTCTCTCATCTGACCACAAATTTGGACGATCGTGTTCCATGGAAAGCCCTCGACGAACTTAATTTTTTGGTGGTCTCGGTTCGGCCTTACAGCCATTGTGTTTTTCAAATTGAGCCCACGAAGCTCATCACTATAAACCCTAGGTTTTGAGATGGTCATTTTAACCAACCTTCTCAATGGCACACCATCTGGGTTTTGTAGCCCATATCCTCGTGAGTAAAACCTGACTAGCATCACTGTCATTGGATCTTCGACCACGACTCGAAAAGCCTCGAAAGTTTTGGGAATCACTACTTTTTCGAAGGTTTTGACTATTATTCGGCCACTTCTAGCCGTCGCATCAGGTACAAAAATTCTTCCCCTTGAGTTTTCCATTCATAAGACCACGGAGTGTAGCGGCACGTGGATCACTCAGGTGATTTGGTTTTGGACAGCGAGACGTTCTCGATACCCTAAGCCTATATCCAAGGTCCGTTTGTCGATATTTGGTCGTTTGATCATAGAACCAAATTGGGGCGCCACTCGATTTTGTAAATGGCGGATATCTGACATTTGGATTGTTTTTATTTTGTTATAGGTTGTAGTTGGAGTGTTGTGTGGCTCATAGGTACTTGTGGAAAGAAAGTCAAAGATTCAGATCTTTTGTCTTGGAGAATCTAGGGTTCTGACCTTAGATGGAGCTGCTTTGACCAAGGGTTGACCTTTTTTTACATCAAAGTTCCTAAAATCATCATAGTGTTCATAGTTGCTGTGTGCGACTCAAATTTGATACCCATTGGACGTGAATCCTACGTTTGACCCTTGCTTGGTCATAGGGCCATTTTGGTCCTTTTGCACAAGTGAATTCTCGAAACCTGTGCAACGATCCTTATTATGACTAGAGTTACGTATCTACAGATTGATGAAGCTTGATTGGCTCATCAGAGACATGTGACGTCCTAATGACACGTACATCATTTTGTGTGTGCCTCAGTTTGCATGACGCTTCAATTGTGTTGATTGTGGAATGCATAAGATTACTGGCGAGTGACTTTAATATTATGTGATAAACTATTTTTCATATGAAAACTCTCACACATACTTTGTTTGTTTTAATTTCACGGGTCAACCATGAAAAATCTCACATGTACTTTGTGTGTTTTAATTTCACAGGTCAACCATTGTTGCATGTACAAACCATTAGTGCCGGGGTAAGGCATTTATAGGGGTGGGTTTAGTTTTAATCCTATGGGTCGACCATTGTTGTCCGCACGAAGTATTGGTTTTGGGGGTAGGGATTTATGGGCCATTATCAATAGAGGGTAAGGTTTAATTTTAATCTCAAGGGTCAACCATGGTTGGCCGGACAAAGCATTGTCGTTGGGAGTGGGGTATTTGTAAGCCGCTATCAATCCTGGTATACTAAACATTTGAGTGTGTCTGGTGCTGAACGAGTCGAACTCATGGTGTTATTTTACGACCCATTACTATTCACACACACCTAAACCCTAAACCTCATGGGCTTTCATAGCTTCTGCTACACCTTGGGCCTTTTCGAAGGCATGCGTATGGGCTGGGGCTAGCACCTAAACTCGCTTGGCTGAGGCTCAAGCTGCATCTCCTTACGCCTAAACCATCAATTTAATCAATTTTATGTTTTTTTGTTAAATTTTTCTTTTTGTCCTTTACCATAATATCAAACTATTATCTTCATGTTCTGCAGTTAGCATCATATCGGTCCCCCCATTTTCAATTTTTTTTCTTTTTAGCTTTTTTTGTTAATTTTTCTTTTATAGTTTTTTTTTTTTGGTTAATTTTTCTTTTATTTCTATTACCGTAACAATAAACTATCATATTCATGTTCTTCAAAATATATTTTTTGCTTATAAAAAAATGTTTTTTTTTCTATGCAAAATCTATTATTATTTATATTTGAACACTTGTAATCAACGATATAAGACCTCAATTTAAAGATATTTGAAGCAAATAATTAGGAATAGGGAAAGATCGGCACCACGCTATTGATACTCACCTAATCGTACTTAAATCATCGTTCAATCTATTTATTTTCACCTTCGCCTCACCGTGAAGTTTTGAAAATTAAGATAAGACTTTCTGTTGAGATTGTTGAAGGTAAAACTCTATTTGACAATGTTTTGTGCCTCACTACACTTTTTTTGTTTTTTTAGTTTTTGGTTTAAGTATTCTACTAAATATACATTTGTTGTTTAATAAATCGTAAATCCGTTTCTAAATGCCTTAATAAGGTTTTCCTTAGCTCATAGATAATACTTCGCGAAAACAAAAAAAAAATTGCATTTTTGACAAAAAAAGTGGGTTAACACTCACGGTTTTTAGTCGGTTTTACAAATTCGTACATCGTTTAATCTATTTATTTCACCTTCGCCTCATCATGAAGTTTTGAAAATTAATGTAAGACTTTCTGCTGGTATTCTTGAGAGTGGAACACATTTGCGACAATGTTTTGGCTTCACTGCTATATTTTTCACTTACTTTTTTAGTTTTCAGCTTAAATATTATACTAAATATACATTTGTTGCTCAATAAATCATAAAACTGCTTCCAAATGCCTTATAATGTTTTCCTTAATATTCACGGAAAATATTTCGCGATTTTTTTTTTTCATTTTTTACAAAAAACATGGGTTAACTCTAATTGTTTTTAGTCGAGTTTACTTAAATCATCATTCAATCTAATATTTCCACCTTCGCCTCATTGTGAAGTTTGGAAAATTAATGTAAGACTTTCCATTGATATTCTTGAGGGTGGAATCTCATTTTGACTTTGTTTTGGGCCTCGCTACTATATTGTTTACTTATTTTTTTAGTTTTCAGCCGAAATATTATACTAAATATACATTTATTGCTAAATAAACCGTAAAATCGCTTGCAAATGCCTTATGATGTTTTCCTTAATGCACATGGAAAATATTTCGAGAAAATAAAAAATTTACATTTTTCACAAAAAATGTGGATTAACATGGATTTATATATATATGTTTACAACCTAGTCGTCGATTTGCTTTTATGAAAAGTTCTATCTATGTATATTTGAAATGTTTGCGAGCTAACGTTATGCGCTATTATATTTGCAACTGTAGCAGTGTGGTGCAGCTAGTTTGGGTTAGCGCACTCAAGAGGAGGTTTTGTTACCTTTTATTGCTAATTTGTATTCCGACGATGCTCTGATGTTTTATGTATGAGTTCCAATAGACTCTGTATTTTGTCCCGCTACGTCATTTTGCCACATCAATTCGTGGCGTATCTCGTAATCAAGGCGTGACACAAATTACCCTCACACACCACTCCACATACATTTTCGTTTTGTTGAAATATAGTACATTACCCATTAATTAGTACTTTGGTGCATTTATCTGTTAGGAAGCCTGAACGACCTTTGTGGTTACACGCATGAAATCACTTTGCATAACCAGTAAGTTGACTTACAAAAAGAAAAACTCAACCAAATGAATTTAACATTACACATTTGTATTTAGTTTCACATATTTGCTAATAATCTGTGATCACGACGACACTCGAGAGAGGAGAGAGTAATTCGATGACCATCTACTTGTAATCGATGTCTCCCAGAAAGCCGAGGATATTAGAGCAGCACATACCCAACTGCCGGATTCACCCAAATTTTCCAGCTTCCATCTTCCTAATTGCTCTTTGACCGTAATATATAAACGAATCTACAAGTCCTGCAACGGTAAATATACCTAGAACAAAGTCGAGGTTTTTATCACTCGTTAGAAGTCTTTAAGTAAAAACAAAACCACAAAAAAAAAAAAGATAGAACAGTGTGTTCATTCAGAAATGATTATATTTGACGTTTGAATCAAATGGTTATAACACTTGCAGAAAGATTTTGGGGACTTATCATATACTGTGTTAGTTTCTTCGACATACATCAATGCATGTAAGAATGGGCTAGATTACCTCCAACTATGGCACAAATATGGGTCACGAAGTGTAAAAACGGAACATGTTCTTCTTTGAATGTGACCTGCAACGACAATAAAACGTAAAGACGGTTTGCTATACAGGGCAGCTCATACTAGTGTTCATCTCAATAACATGATTATGAGCTACTTTATTAACTGAAGTTATAAACCTGACAATTTTTCACATATTGTTCAGACTTACACTAGAAACAAGAAGGCTTCTTTCCCCCGTATTTGGGGAATAGTTCAAATACACTAGAAATGGAGCATACATAAGGTTCCACATCTCTAAAAATCCTACTGGTTTTTGAGTGTGGCATGACAGTCAGTTTTATATTGCATCACTATTCTGAGTCATGTCAATGTGCTCTCATGTCAATTTCCAGTCCGAATCTTATCCTTAACAAGAAAAAGAAAAACCAACAGATCTATTTTCAGTTAAGAAAAAAAATTATAATCAGATAAAGGGAAGAGCATTCTGAGCATAAAAGTATATTTTCTGCTGGGGTTCATCAGTCAGCCCATAGTTTTTTACCCCACATTCGTAGATTCTCTATCTAACACGTTAGTCCCAGGTACGAGCTTCAACTCTTCAATTAAGTCACAACCTCTACTAATATTAATAGATGTTGGCCTAATTGTCCCGATTCTTATTAAAGGGTTATTAGGAGTTCCGTAAATAAGACACCCCTCACACAAACTAGAGAACATACAATTTCCTTCTTGTTCTCGCTCTCCACGTCTCTAATACTATCATCAATATTCCTCTCCTATTTTTGTGTTCTATTCTGTGGGTATTCGATCAAGACTTGGGTTCTCATTTGTCGTTGACGTGCACAACGAACCAGAAATTCTGTGAGGCTTTGTATTGCATCTCAAAGTTGTATGCACTGCCATAACTTGCACATAAGGAGGCAAATAAATAATACTCCAATATATTTAACACCTTCACATTTATGAACCCATTCAATATTGCCTCTCCCTAAAACAATGAAATTCATCATTTCTCAATAAAACAAGGTGAAAGGACAAAGTTAACTCGCACGTGAGGTGCACGTGCATCCTTTTGGACGAATAATCGATGAAATTTTTAATTTTGGGCTAAATTTCTAACATGCTTCACCGCAAATGTTTAGTGTCAACTGTTTTACCATGAGCCATCTTGAGAGTTGACACCACAAGGAAGGTTTATGAGATTTATAAGGCTCACTTGTCTTACTGAAATAATAGTGGTGCGAAGACAAAGTTAACCTCACACATGAGGCTCGCATGCATCCTTCAGATGAAGAATCCACAAAAATTTCAATTTTGGGCTAAATTGTTATCAGGCTTCATCACAAGGGTTTGAATGCCAATTTCCGTACCCTATGGGCCATTTTGAGACTAGTCTCTAATAACAGGGATGATTTATGCAATTTGGCCTTTTTGTTTTCAGTAGTTTCCCCAACTTGCTTCCACAAACATAGAATGTTTTCACCGTGGAAAGTCTAAACTTTTATCTTTTTTACGTAATTACCAGAGAAGGAAAGCACAAAAAAGCAAATTAAGAAAAATGGGCACACCACCATAATTATCAAAGACACTACATCCGATTTAGAATACCACGTTACATGTGGACCAGGAAACACACCTTAATTGGAGAAAGATCATAATAGAAGAAAACTCCCGGTGGCAATTGAGAGTGTCCCAGCTCTGAACTCTTATAATGCTCTGTCACAGAGTACTATACCATACAAATTTGACTACATATCAGGGCAGATGTGATGGCAAACACAAACCAAACAAATTCAACAAGCTTAAAAGTACCTGATTTGAGCGAATTGTACGGCCTCTAATATTGGTGTATAGCGTAGGGACCACCTGCAAAGTATAAATTAAGTGTCCAAATATCCTCACTGATTAATAACTACTCTTAAAGAAACAGTACAAATGCAAATAATAACTTGCTCGCAATCCTGTGTGGTCATTATTCCGAGAAAGCAATGAAATTCCAGAAATCATTCAACAGAGTTGATGGAAAGGATAACCATATAGCAAAACCCAAATTAATTTACTGATAATACCAACCTTGATGAAATACTGGTACATACCACCTGGTCTTTCCTGCATCCATTGTACACTGAAAATGCAGTAAGAAAATAACATAAAAGATTCAAATTGCAACCATATGATATTGTATTTGACAACATATCAACAATATCTATTAAACTATCACCTAAAACATCCATATTTTGAAGTTGATGCCACTAAGATTTCTTCAATTTATAAATAGCTAGGGATGGGAAGAAAGAAACAATTACCCATCAAGGGGATTTTGCATGCCAGGAAACTGGTCACCAAAAGCTAATCTGTTTATCTTGTGACTTATCTGTATCACGAAATATGAAACTGAAATCGTTGGCACATGCTTTTTACTAGAAAACAAAAAAATGAAAATTACAACCAAAAATGATGGCAAAACTTATATTATACTTCATGATTATATTATTTTCTTTGCTACCAAAGAAAATAAAATGTTCCTTACATTGTAACTATCCATCTGGAAAGCCAGCAAATCATGGACATGAAAGTTAGACTGGTGAAAACTTTTTCCAGGCATAAAATGAAAATTTCCCGCGACTTTGTTAACTGCAAGGGATCCTTCAATATTACATCCTTCACCATCTTCATCTTTTATCTTTTGAATAAAACCTTCCCGTTCACACTGCAAACAAAAAGCACATTGATGATTAATATCAACATAATGCCGCACAAACATCAAAAACTGTCCAAACTTAGGAGTAAAGGTGTTCAACAGATGGCTGTCAAGACCAGACCTATAGTGCGCCATGTCCCACTCGGGCCAGTCTTTAATAATGCCCCGAATAACTTACACCTAAAACCTACCACACCTGCAGCCCGGTTCACTCCAGGTCATACTGGCCCTTAAACGAGCAGGCCCGTTTACCTGTTTACTTAAAATATTGATTATGAAAAAATATTTATTCTTCTTAATGAGAGATGGTCTCTCTTATTGCTTATTCAAATTAAATTTATTAAGTAATTTTTTGGTGGATGTCACTACAGATATTGAAGTGAATTCAATGAGTAAGTGAAGTGCAGGTCTAAGAATCGTTGTAAAATTCAGTAACTGATGTAGTCAAAAGTCAACATGCCACCTCTAGAGAGAAACTAACTTCCAACTTTGTAACCTTTTCTCAAACTTTTGTGCCCTGGATCCAACCCCCCACCTAAAAAAAAAAAAAAAAAAAAAACCATCAAAGGGGGGAGTGGCAACTGTTTAATCACATTCACACCCCAGGAAGTAACCCACCTCTCCACCTTACTCTGATCGACAACGAGCACTCTTTATTCACCTTTAAGCTGGAGTTCCCTCCCGCAAAAGCAGTCTACAACCACAACCGATAAAAGATTCTCCCAGACGATACCCTTGCTGTAGGATTTCAATAGTATAAATATGTACTTTCTAATTGTATTTAGACAGACATAATGATTGTTTAATCATATTTTCTCCATGCGTATCTTCTTTTCTCTGAATCTTTCTTCTATCTCGGTCTTCCTCTATATTTCTGTTCTACTCCTCTGTCTTATCTTGGACTCTACTCGGCCTTTCTATTTCTTTCTATCCTCTAGTTCTAAATTCTAAATTCAAGTTACTTGTTCTACATCAATGGCATTTACATTATGGAACACGATGATAGAGTGAGAGGTCTCAGTGCTTTGTCTGCTCAAGTTCTCTTGGAGTATATGTACTATATTCCGATGGGTACTCAGGGTCCATTGGGATGGAAAGAAGCCTTTGAATTGAGCAACATGAAGGAATTATCCAAATGTTGTTGAACATGTCTCAATAATAGATTTGCTAGGCTTGTGATGGGTCTTTGTCATCTTTTTGGAACATTATCATCTTTATGTACCTACCTCTTGCCAGGAATTCCGCAGAGATTGTAACGCACAAACTCATTATATAAAAATATTATGCACACTTTTCTTGTTCATTTAATTTTTAACTCAAAAGCAATGCGAACGTAGGATCCTATGAAAAGGTAAAGTAAAATAACAGGAAAGTGTTTATTTGTGTGTCAATTTGATACTAATGCAAGCATTATCATCAAGCATATGGCTTGCATCTACAGTTGTCCTTGAGCCTATGGCTTAGAACCCAATATCAGCCCCAAATACTTCACAGCCCATCTGCCCACTTCACCACCCCCAGACCATAGCTGGCTTCTCCGCTTTTCTTTATGGGGTGTCAATACCTGAATCGAAGATTTTCCTCTAATCATCTTCAGTCCCGAAGTAGTACAGAAAACTTCCAGTACAATCAATAATTTTCTCAAATTTTGATCATTCTTGGAAAGTAAAAGAATTGTATCATCCACAAACTGCAAATAAGAAATCTCCACTTCTTTCCTACCACCTATCAAACCCCTTACCAGATCTCCTTGGCTCTTTTCACCAATGTACTCAACCCATCCACCACGACATTAAATAAAAAAGTGGATGGGAGATCTGCTTGCCTTAACCCTCTAGATGCTCCAAACCTACTCCTCAGTCTCCCATTGATTAAAACTGAAAATTAGCTGTAAACAAAAATCCCCTTATCCTCAGTCTCCTTGCCTTAACACTTCTTTTCAATTTTTTGGAGAGATGTCCAAAACTTCTTAGGTATAAAATTTCAGATACAGATCTCGAAGAAAGAAACTGTGCCCCAGCCAATTATTAACTTTCTCAGTCAATTTGGTATGTCATCAGACTCACAAGAAGACACATTTGTAATATGAAAACTTATTGGTGTAATATGCCCATGTTTATACCAGTCAACCAGATCGCACAAAGAAAAATCCTAAGTTTCTATGACCTAACCTGGTCTATCAAATCTGCATTCGTCAGTGCCCAGCCTTTTTTCCTATATGCCTCTTGAACTTCATCACACGAGTTGCAGCAATCATCATCAGACTGCATAAGAAAGAAAAAGGAAGAGATTAAAGGACAATGGAAGAACATCTCGTTGATGCACGCTTCAAGATTACTAATTCTCTAATCAGTTTAACTAAAACAGAATTGCCAAAATATGAAATAACAAAACAAGAATATTTGATCAAATGTAATGAATCAAGCATGCAGGACATTTACGAATAAGGCAATTTGCATTCGTGTACATATGTTAAGGAAGCAAGTTGAACAAACCAACTTGTTTAAAAGATTTGGTAAGCTGTGCCACCTTCTTAATCTACATCCTCTGCACTAAAAAATAACTTTACTGGTCATGCTAAGGACTCATACACATACGCATACTTCAAACATGGCGCTATCGAAATGTATTTTTCAGTTTGTGATAGGGAATCCTTATAACTTAGTGGAGATTTTACAGGAATTGAGCTTTTGAACGGTTTCTTAGTAATAACATTTCCCCTTGACAGCTTTTGCAGTATCCCAAAGTCAATGGAATTTTCTGGAAAAAAATGTTTACAAGGAGAGAACAAGGATCACTAGGCGTTCTATGAAACCACTAATCACACACACACACACACAAAAAGCCAGTTAGGCACTCAAAGAGTTCTCTATGGTTTTGTTTTGGGCTTCTTTCTGGGAATCTGTACCTGCGGCTGCGGAGTCTAGAGAGCTCCAAAATTGGAGGCAGATCATCTGGGACCAAACATGGTGTCCCTAGCATTATTGTTCCAAATAAAAAAGAACTATTATTAACACAAGGAATGGAAGAAAATCATTTATACCGTTTCTGCTCCAAAGCACGATCCACAATATTTTTCATTATGCTCAAGCCTTCCACCATGCCTTTGCAAGGGGCTCTCAATCTGCATTAGAGAATTAAAATGAAAGTGAATAAATAAATAAAAGGATCAGGGTACCAATCAAACAAGGAATAAGAAACAGAATATTCTGTTTCGTATTCCTTGTTCGCTTCCCACCCAAAAAAATGAACAAGGATTGCAACAAAAAAACCTATGTATTATCTACTTTCATTTCTTCCATTTATGAAGGGGTGATCAGGTTCTTTCCTCTTCTTTCGTTTTCACTGATGGGTTCTTGTTTCAATGGGTCTGCTTTTAGATCTCTTTTATTAGGTGTTTTCTTGTGCACAACTCATGCAACAAAGGTGAACAAACTTGCAAAAGCAGTACCTTATAAATGAAGTTTACCAAAAAATGGTGCATAAGGCACCGCCGCTAGAATATTTTTCTTTAACAACATTTTCCATGTCAGTAAATAAGGCCAAATGCATTCCTAATTCAAATCTGTAGTTCATATGCCTTGTCAAACTCCACCCATCATAAAAAAGAACCTAAATATTCAAGCGATGGTGCACTAGCACATGCTATGATGAAGGGATGTATGGAATATTCACAAAGACAGTAAAGCATCTGCTACAAAGCCGTATGAAAGTATCAGAATCACATGATTAATTACAATTATGGCAGATAGTGAATGCTGGTAATTTTAATCTAGCTGCACCCACAAAGAACCATGCAGCCACAGACAGAATAGTCAGATTATAAGGAATACGGATGAAAATTTTGTTTGATATGCATCTGTGTGCACGTTATGAAGGGTTTTCTGTAATTCTACATGTTTTTTCCAAAAGCACAAAAACTGAACAGAGAGTAAAATACAAGTCATAATATTATGTTTACCAAATAATATAAACAGGTATTCAAACATGTACGATATGTAACCACTGCTTTCTGAAGAAAATGGCACAACATGTGTTCCCACAAACCTTTGGTGCACCAATTCCATCCTTCTTAGCTTCTATTACATTACCATGCGCATCAATTCGTTTCTTGACTATATCGTGTCGCTGAAAGTAGATGTGTCATAAATTGTCAGTTAACAAAATAAGTGAGCATGACATTCAAGCAAGTTGGTCACCAGCGGTATGATTGTGATAAAAGTCAACAATAGGCATGTTCCTAACACAATTGAAACTATTAAGGAAAATAATTATCAAGAAGCAGCTGCCTGCGGTACATACTATGTCAAAATGCCGCTCTCCACTAATATCCATTGTGTCAAGACTGAGTAATGAGCATCGGATAGCTGGAAAAGTTACATCAAACTGCAGTTTCAAACAAGATACAGAGAATTAATAAATCTACAACCATTAACAATTATGAAGGGCAAAAATTTTTACATGCAAAAGAACTACTCCATGTAAAAACCGAGATCAAATCTTCTGCACCCAAAATGGGTGTGGCCTCTTTGTGGCCCCAATCATTGACTGACACATATTTATAAATTGAACTTTTCTTAATTTTGTTTTCATAAACTTAATATGTGTCAAGCAATGATGGAGGCCACAAGAGGCCACAACCATTTTGGGTACAGAAGATTTGATCTTGTAAAAACCTATGACAAAGGTAAACCTATGAACGTAACATGTAAGATGGTGTTCTACAAAACTGATATCTGCAAAAGAAGTTTAATTTAATCCCCGAAGTTATTGGAAATGAAGATTTTGATATTTATCACCCAGAAGGGAGTGGGGAGGAAGAAGGGGAGGATTACATTGATATGTAGGGTTTCTCCTCTTGAAACATCTACAAGAAGCTTCGACTCCGTAACAGTGTGGAGGTATAGTCCTGCAAGCACAAACAAGTAAAAGAATTTATATGGTTAACAAAGATTGAAGAGAGCAGAAGGCGTGGTCATAATAAGCCTCAACGCATTACACTATAGCAGTAAGAAGGGAAAAAATTTCAGCTTTACAAACAGATTTAAACACGCTTAGTGCTGTTTTCTTATACACTTTTGATCCCCTGATGGATCACTGGCATTGGGTAGTGCTTACTATCAAAGAAAAATCACAGGAGGGAGTATGAAAGGTTAATTAAGGCGGGCTTCCAGCAGCTTAACGGTGGCGACATGAAGGAATAATAACATTAACCTATATAAGTTATCCCCTCTAAAAATCGTAAATATCAAGTCAACAAACTTAATTATATTTCTTCTGCTAACTTAATTGAATTATCCTAAAGAAACCCAAAACAGTATCATTCAAGCCAACAGATAAAACCCACAACAATACAGCTCAATATCTAAACTTGTAAAATACAGAAGGGAAAAAAAGCAAACTTAAGCAAAGGGTTGGAATTGGAATCGGAATTGCATATGATTACACACCGAGCTCGGAGACGAAGAGGAAGAACATGAGGAGGGAAGATGCGAGGGTAATGAGGCCACCAGAGAGCGTACGGCTGAAGAAATCGTCATTGATTTTAGGGTAGGCGTCCAAACTCCTCAGCTTCTCAAGGATACCACCGTCCCTGCCCATTCGCCTCTCTCTGTCTGCGTGCCTGCGTGCCTGCCCTCTCTATCTCACCAGTCCACAACAAGGAAGGAAGGAAGGAAGGAAGGATGCTGCGATTCGGGAATTTCAATTCAGCAGAGACGACCCGACCAGACAGACAGAGACAGAGACGGCCGGTTGACAAATTTTAATTTGAAATGTCACCGGCTATACTTATGTTTGTTGAACAAAAATTAATTGCAATTGTTTAAGGTTGTACCATTGAGACACCTATTTTTACATTTTACATTTACATCTTACACCTTAGGGATGTAGTCAAATTTAGATTTGAGAAGATTTTAAAAGATTTTAAAATCCTAGTGTAGTTAATTAAAAGATTTTAAAAGATTTTAGAATCCATTTAAATCTAGGTGTAGTCAATTAAAAGATTTTAGAATCCTTTAAAATATAGGTGTAGTTAATTAAAAGATTTTAAAAGATTTTAAAATCCATCCAAATCTAAGTGTATTCAAAAAATTAAGATTTTGGAGGATTTCAATAAGTTGTGGATTTTGTGGGATTTGAGAGCCAAAAGTATATATAACCAATACTAAAAAGAATCAAACCTCACCACCCCGTAAGATTTCAAATCCTTCCCTACAATCCACCACAATCCATTCAAATTCTTTAAAAATCCATATAAATTCTGTAGGAGTCTTTAAACCTCTTAAATCCCATCAAATCTATCACTTTTAAAATCCTTTAAAATCTTAGTTTGACCACACCTCTTAATTTTTCTCTATTATTTTTTTCCAGGTTATCAACGGTAAAAATTTGAGAAGATTGTTTAAGAAGTAAAAATAAATATGTGAATAGTACAACTTTTATTCAAAATCTAAAGTTTTAATTTTATCATGTAAATCGATTTAATAGATAATTAAAAATGGTAAAAGATGTAAATCGATTTAAATTTAAATCTCATGATGTAAAATGCTATTAGCACAAAAAAAAAAAAAAAAATAAAGATACCATCCTAGTTTTTCTATATAACTGAAACCCTAATCTCAGGGTTTTGCTCAAGGCATTTCCGTCACGTTCTCAGCAGCCAAACAGACCCACTGCAAAGATGGTGAAGAAGACGGAGAGAAAAGTGAACATCTCTGAAAATCCGAAGCACTCTCTGGACGCAAACCGTTCCGATGGCAAGGCCAAGAACAAGGACGCGCGTACCGGCGCCACCGTCCGCCTCCTCAAGATGTACAACACTAGGCCCAAACGTAACCGCAAGGGAACGGTCTTGAGGAACAAGTTCCAGTCCAAGGAGTTGCCTAACACTCGTATCCAGCCCGATCGATCGCGGCCTGTTTGGGGTTACTCGGGCTGCGTCTCAGCAGCAGATCGACATTTTCCGTGAGGAGCACGGTAGGACGGTTTCAAGTAACTACAATGTTATTTTGAAGGAGAAGCAATTACCATGGTCCCTCTTGAATGACCATCAGAAGCAAACCAGATTCCATCTTTTAGAGAGAGAGACATTTTCTAATGTCTTTGTACCTAAGACAAAGAGGAAACGTCCAAAGCTCCTTCGCAGCAGATTATGAATCCTTAGCTAAGAAGGCTGATGTGTTTCAGGAGAACCATGCTGCTGACAATGTTGTAGAAGGTAGTGAAGCGGATGGATTTCAGGACCTGGTTCGGCATACAATGTTTGAGAAGGGCCAAAGTAAACGTATTTGGGGTGAGCTCTACAAAGTCGTAGACTCTTCTGATGTGGTTGTCCAGGTTTTGGATGCAAGGGATCCACAAGGTACAAGATGCCACCACTTAGAGAAATATTTGAAAGAGCACTGCATGCATAAACACTTAATTCTTTTGTTGAACAAGTGTGATTTGATTCCTTCATGGGTGCTTAGACGTTGGTTGAACTTACTAAAGGCTGAATGTCCAACTATTGCATTTCATGCTAGCATCAATAAATCGTTTGGCAAGGTAACTCTCCTATCAGTTTTGGGACAATTCGCTCGTTTGAAAAGCAACAAGCAAGCAATTTCTGTTGGATTTGTTGGGTATCCTAATGTTGGAAAGTCATCTGTTATCAACACATTGCGAACTAAAAATGTTTGCAAAGTTGCTCCTATCCCGGGGAAGACTAAAGTGTGGCAGTATATAACACTCACAAAGAGGATTGTCTTGATTGATTGCCCTGGAGTTGTCTATCAAAGCGGTGACTCTGAAACAGATATTGTACTGAAGGGCGTGGTACGTGTCACAGTATGCTTCAGAACACATAGGAGAAGTTTTGAAACGAGTTCAAAAGATCCACCTGAAAAGAGCATATAAGATAGAGAAGTGGAAAGATGATAATGACTTCCTATGTCAGCTATGCAAATTGTCAGGCAAACTTTTGAAGGGTGGTGAACCCGACTTGATGACTGCAGCTAAGATGGTCCTCCACGACTGGCAGAGGGGTAAGATACCATTTTTTATGCCGCCACCAAAAAGTGATTCGTCAACCGGGGAGCCTGATATCAATCACAAGGTGTTTAGTTAGCGTGTGCATTTTCTTTCTAGAGGAACCAGATAAGTTATCTATATGGACGCAGTTTTTGTTCAAGTATTTGCCCTATGATAGATAAGGCAACGTTTCTTTTTCATTAGACGAAGGTTTTGTTCTTCATAGTCACGTTTGAGTTTTTCAATAGTTCTTTATGATTGCTTCTACTATCTATTGGTATTTTAATAAAACACATTTTCACTATACAATGCAACGTTATTTCACTATACAAACGTCATAACAGGTATCATTCATTCTTTTTAGCATTATTCATCTCAAAAGAAAATGTATTGGATATTTAGTCATCCATATGAATGCTTAAAGTTGTCTTGATATTCTGTATAAAAATTTGATTAAAATTTGCACCGAATGATTCTGGATCATATACCAAAACTTGATTTATGTGCAAAAATGTCAATGTAAAGTATGAAAACTTAAAGTAGATTTGATTATCTTTATACATAAATTTGGAGCAAGATACTGACGAAGTTGATTCAAACACAAAGCAGAAGTGTTATTCTACGGTCTCAAGTTTAGAACGGTAAGTGAGACATCGAGACCTCCATGCACTCTTAGGTGGTTTACATTCATACAAATATTTTGGCGTACTTCTATTAGAGAGATTGAACAAATAATGGTACAACTAGATTGTAAGTGTAGCACTACTCTATTAGCTTAATATTTTGGCGTACCTCTATTAGAGAGATGATACAAATGATAGTATAACTAGATTGTAAGTGTATCACTACTCTGTTAGCTTTCCTTTTATGGCTAAAATTTAGGCGTGGGTTAAGATGAGTAAGTACTGGTTAAGGCTTTGGGAAAAAAAGCCCAGCAGAGTTGAAGTTTTGGTGCTAGGGTTTACACATGAAATATTATGTATCTGCTAGCTTGTTTCCGTGAAAAATTGCAAACACAGATACACAGTATACAGAACATAGAGAATTCATATGCATTAGAGAGAAAATACTTTATACGTGTTAAATAGTTTTTGAGTGAATTAATGTGCTTATCATGTTGCTAGAAGATTTGTTTCCTGTTTTAGATCACTTTCTAGGGTTTTATCACAATTTCTTATCTTGAGATTGTACATGGAAGATCATGTCGAAGAAGAGTCGTGAAGCGATATTTTCATCATGGAGGACGACATACCGACAATGTAAGTCTTGGGAGTCTAGGAGGGTGTCTTGTGTGCTAGGCTCAGGTTGTGTTCTGGTGCTTACGTAAGTCCATTGGGTGAGTCTTGTAAAGTTACTTTTCTCACAGGGGATTTTTTTTAAGGAAAACTAATGAAAAGAGTTTGAAAACTTTGAGTTTTAATGATAAGGACAAAATAAAGGGTAAAGTGAATAGTACCAAGATTGACTTTTTAGTGTAAAAATGTGGTTTTTCGTTAAAATGAACAGTACCGCAGACTTTTCGTTAAAACTCCCTTTTTTTTATTGGTTGTGTGGTCGACGATGTTTCTCCATGCATTGGAGTTTTACCTTGCTAATATCCTTGTGTTAATGTGTTCTATGATTTAATTTTTTGCACTTTATTATATGCATAACAAGATTGATATCCATGGTCAATCTTGATGTCTGATTGTTATTCGCATTCGATCATTGTACTTTTTTCTATTTTACTATTACTATGAGGAGTTGGGAGAGTTCGAAACTTTTACAATAATTTAGGGAGGGGGAGTTTCGAACCTGGTGCTTGGGGACTTTCAGTATTTGGGCTCGGCTTGAGACTTGTATAACAATTGTGTTTCAACCTAGTACGCATTAGTAGAAACCCAACACTTATCCACTAGAATATTGGACCATATGCATCATTCGACCATTGCACTTGTTAATCACAACTTGTTTTCTATTTCTGATGCATACTTGATCCATGTGATTAATAAGTAAAGTATGTGAAAATTGGATTAAGCCTATTCATCTCTCTTGACAAGCCCCGATCTCGATGTCCGAAGGACAATGGGATGGCCACGTATTGGCTGACACTCGAGGGGCCACGCAAGTCATTTTTTTAATGCGTATGCCGAGAACATGGCTTACGTCACCCTCGGGTATCGGCTAGCACGTGGCCATCCCGTTGTCCTTTGGACACTGGAATCAGGGCGTGTCATCTCTTCTAGGCTTTATGGTACAACCTATTGCGTTTTCACACTCATAGTTGGATTTCCATTGACGATTAATCCAACGAGGAAGCTTGACGCCAAGGGCTCTCTAAGGGTTTTTTAGAATTTGTATTTATGATTTTCATAATTATGATGTTCTGTAATATGATAGCTATGAGTAATTAATTTTTTTACTAGGGATTTGATGTAGCCTTCATGGTAATTCTATGTCTTAGTTAACTTTATTCTTTTGTCTATTCAAAGGTTTTCAGTTTTATTCATTGTGCTTAAATTATTCTTTATGTTCATGTTATTGATTTGCTACTTTTAATATGAATTTTTAGATGTATGAAACAATGTTAGTGTAGACGCCATATGCTTAGCCTCTATATAGCTCTCTTGACGTCAAGCCCCGACCCGTGAATGAAGACTATTCACAAGTTAGGGTGTGGGCCATATCTTAGCTATAGAAAATGATGTTTTGGTTTGTTAAATAGGTATGACAAATTTCTAGATTTTGGAATTCTTTATTGTGATAACTAAAAGAAAATGATGATGA